TTTATTTGTATACAATGCCGTTTCAACTTAGGGTGGCGGGACATATTTTAGGAAAGGCGCCCGCCACCCCTTGTCTCCCCTTGGCGCCGTCTTTACTTTTCGAGTTAAACGCAGCTTCTGTGGATTGACGGCAGAGCTTTCGCGCTGCTTTGCAGGAGCGAATATGTGTGTGTCTAATGGAACAGAGGCGGGGCTTGCTGGTTTCCGACTGCGGCTTCGAATTCCCTACCTAAGGGACTTGTGGAAAACGAGCCTTTTCAAAGATCCGACTATACATAAATTAAATAGAGAGTGCCTGTGCCCCTTCGAGTGAACACCTACTCCCAAACATCCATGCTGCAGTCGTGATCGGCCTTTAGCCCAGTTGAGATTCGCCGACCGGACAACCGCTCTGCCCCATCATATCTCTGCACCTGTCCTCTCGACCCTGACGAATGAGCTAACTACTCAGAAACAAGTGTTCTTTTCACACAGAAAATATCCAGACGAATTGCAATTGAATATAATTTGGAAGGGTCCATTGCTGGTTTAAGGTCTTATCTAAGTTTAAAAGTTATTGTTGCTGAACTGCAACATGCTTTCATAAATATTCAACAATTATTCGCTTTCGTTCTCTTGGGTTGCATCCAGAACACGTGAAAACACGAGTTTGGGTTGGCAACGCCGCATGTGCTGCGCTCTAGACATTCCAAATATATGGCGAACAACCGACGAACTTGCCTGACAGCTTTCGTTTCGCTCGCTGCGTCAACAGTGTTTTGACGCCGCGAGCAGCGTCGAAGCCGCCGGGCCATTTTTGTCGCTTGTTTGCAACATACTCGCTCCATTGATTTAAGCCGCTCTTCCCGTTGCCGCAGCAGTTAAGCACAAGCTCCAACGAGAATGTCTGCCAAGGCAATGTCTTTAAGCTTCCCTAAATCGACTGCTCACGTAGTGTCGGTCTGAAACCCAAGTTTCAGAAAGGATAGTGCCACCACAATTTTCGAGATAGTTGCCTCTAGCGTGGTCACCCGAAAGGTTTTAATTAAAAGAGTTCATCCCCGACAGGTAAACCGATACAAAAGCTCTCAAGATCTATATTATGTTATCAGAGTTTAGTAAAAACGATAACTCTACAAAAAATATAAACACTCCCTCCCCGCCGTTTTACATCGAGGAACCGCCCCCCCTAAAATGGAGGTCTGGATCCGCCCCTGGTCGTTTGCATGGGCACCGACAGGACCTTCTTTCTAACATTTGTCACACATTCAGTTTTAATATCCAGCCACTTAACTACCAGTATATACCATGGAAAAGTTCAAAATATTTTCACAATTTGGAAACTCAAAAAAACTCCAAATTAATTAATCAGATAGCATGAATGATGTGAAATGACAGAAATCTGATATTCGTCCACTTGAGTAAGCTTTCACCTAATCACAAAAGATAAAGGCAATGTCACTGTTGGGTCCGGCTACCAGAGGGCCAGTACTTCCGAGGACTTTCCTGCGAGCTTGGATGCAAGCAAGTCAGTCGTTCAGCTCGATCACTAGGTAGATAGACTTACCTACCTATCTCAACAAGCTGAAAGCCAACCTGAAGGTTCCTGCTCCATGGAATTGCCATGCACTTTGTTATTTCTCAGGATTTATCATCTATAGCATGCAAGCTGCCTGCCTCAAATGTTTCAGCTATTGGCTCCATTCAACCACCTGCTCCGGAAAAATGTGAAATAGAGGTGTCTATTAAAGGAAGACGACGGCTTTAACAAGGCAAAGCAGACACTGCTGCGTCAGGCTCCTGGTGTATCGCAACCACACTGAGGAACTGATCCTGAATGTGCCACACCTCCAGAGGCAGTTGGACCAGTGTCGTCACACAACATCCACGGAGTCAAAAGGCCCATAGGAGGTTAACCTTCTTCCAAGAATTCCATGACACACGCATGGGTATCAACGCAATGAGGTAAGGCAATGGTTGATGCCGTACAACCATGAACAATATGCCAACAGGCTGCATTAATGCCACCAGAAGCAGAGCCACAAGCTTGGCCAGAACCCACGGCGTTATGGACAAGAATTTACATGGACTGCACTGCACCTATCGAAGGTAAAACGGTGCTAATTGTGGTAAACAGTTACCAAGATTGAAAGAAACCACTGGCATCAGCAGCCAGCCAACTCCACTGCAACAGTCGAATATCTGAGGAACACGGTCGCCTGGTTAGGACTTCCTGTTTTCTTGGTGTCCAATAATGGAAAACCATTCCCCGGAACGCTGTTTACCGACTTCATTACTCAGAATGGAATTGGCCACCTAAGGACTGCACCTAACTATCCACAGTCAAACAGACTTCCCGAGAGAGCTGTAAGAACGATCAAGGACAGTCTAAAAAAACTCTCGGGTGGTTCTTTGGCCGCATACTTGCCAAGATGGCTCCTTGTGTACCGTCGCACACCGCCTACCACAGGAGGACAATCTCCAACAGAGCTCGTGTTCAACTTTTGTCCTAGAGTTTGCTGCATGGACCTCATCACTGAGACCCAGGAGCCAAAGGTAGACCTGGAAAGGCCTAGCAACCTCAAAGAAAGCAGCCCTGTCTTTGAAACAAACATGGGAGCTGTAGAACAATGGGGACCAAGAACATCTTCCAGGTTGTCGAAAACTGCATGACTTTGGTAAAATCCACCATGGCACAATGAAGCACCACCTGGGCCAGTTGTGCCCCAGACGCTTTAACTCAACTCATTTTTAGTCAGATGATGAAATTACCACTGGGCACTAACTTGATTGGCAGTTAACAAGTGAAAAAACCAGGCTATGGACCAGGAACTGAGCAGGCATTTTAAGCAGTGCAAGGATGCCCCACTCAGGCACGGGCGACACCAACCAAGATGAGCCTTTAGCTTGTGCGGCAAAGTGTTGGATCAGGCCACCACCAGGGGTCAGTGTTTCTGGGGGCTTCCCTGTGCAACGGCCATGGGCTTTCTCTCTTTTTCCACACTTTCCAGTGACCATGTAACAAACATGTATGACACGGCCATGTCAATTATTCCCTAATAAACAAATAGGTATGTTCCTTGCACTCCATGGATGAAGCAGCCACCAACAATTTCAACATTGGTCTGTATGGAGTCAAAAAACAAGGAAATAAAGGAACTTCTGACACACAACTATTCTTGATGCATGTACACAATAGACTACTTCCATAAAGCCCTGCATGCAACACGGCGCGCGTTGCGCTCTGGGAACTAGTTGGCCAGGGAGGAGAGTGGCATGGTTTCGGTTTCGATCGACACGTCGACCAGAGATTACACACAAAGCGTGGACTATAAACGGCCATTATCTCATGTTTTCTGGTCCCGAGAGCATCATTTGTGGTCTATAAACTAACCTAAATGGCCAGACCTCGAAGCTTTAGCACAAGCCCGAGATGTATATAGCTTCTCTTAACACATGCTTGTTCTATTTTTGTACTTGAGCCTTTTTGTTAACGTTTCGAGGTATCTGGACGAGCCAGTGCTGGGAATCTCGACGCTGCGAAGCTCTAGGATCTTGCTTATGTACGAATCAACAGGCTGTAGCAACCAATAAGTATGCATACATCAAGCTCGCGCCTTTACATTATATGTTGTTGATCAGGAAGTTTGTTCGTTTCGTGCGTCCATAGAAGAAATATTACTTTTTGCAATTACTGTTTTCTTAATGCGCCTGTGTACGCGAAGTAAAACTCGGAGGTGCCATTGAAAAGCTCAATTATAACACACTTCTTATCTCTTATGTGTACTGACCCGCAGCACTGCACGAAGCGAAGTCCCCACCCACTGGCATTGTACTAATATTCAACATCGCGTATGCACGTAAAGTTATCCTGCAATCGTATAGGCACATTTGCGCATACAAACCGTTTTAAGAAAGCAAAAGTCGAGCACTTGTGTGAAAAATGTTGCACCATTCGCCAGAAGTACGCCGGACGGGTATGAACCCCTATGCGGTGCGCCAAACGAACGAAATTATTCAAAGTGCATTTGACGGTTGCTAATGGCCATAATATTTGTCATGTGTTAGCTTTCTTCCTGCCTGAGTATGCCGCGATAATTTCAGACACACCGTTCAGGCACAGACCTTGGGCGTCAGTAAAAGCTCGTCCAAAAAGGCTTAGCGAGGAGTAGGGGACGCTTGTTAGGGCCTCCGTCGTAGCTAGCCCATCTCCGCGTTTGCGAAAACTTAATCGTCTATCAGCATAAAATTTGAGTGGAAGATATATGATGACACGAGGAAGACATCATAGTAACTTTGGTGCAGTAGTGAGGTCGAATTTATTGCGTTTCCCTAAAAGTTTACGCGTCAACGCTGGGCTCAACTTTGATACTCCTGTGAGGATGCGGCTTGCTTTTCGCCCAATGAAGTAACAAGAAGCGGACATTTGGCAAACAAAATATGTGTAATGCTCCAGGTGACCGAATTTCACTTGTAGTTCAATGGCACTAGACGGGATAATTGAAATTGAACTCAAATATGATGTGACTAAGCCACGTCCTACTACGTTTGCATACGCAGTCAAATATCTGGTGTTTCGGGAACCAAAAAAAGTGCCCCGGCCTTCCTTTTGTATCGCTCGAGAATGCGTATATTGTACATTCGTAAAAAAGTCAGATAATCGAAATTGCGAGCAGTGCGTTCGGTCGCGGCGTGATAGCATGAGATGAATCTGCTCAGTCGAAACCGAAACTGAGTGGCCAACTAGTTCCCAGAATGCACTGCATGGTATTTCGCCGCAATGGGGCGCGTCGGTTTCGGAAGAAGTCCATGGGCCAGCAGTCTCCTTGCAACATCCTGGACACAGCAACAAAACCCCGCCCTTGCACCTGTTACACTGAGTACGAGCGTCTGACAAAAACTAACTCACGGAAAGAAAATGGCGGCAGTTAGGTCTACTGCAAACAAACTAACATACAGATACCTGACAATAATTAAGTCTGCAACTACAATGAAATAAAATGAGACAGACTCAAAAGCTGCAACCGATGACCATGGAGGGGACATGGGTCTCGTGCCTCTGCAAGAAAAAACACAGGAACTGCAAAATTAAAATAGGCAAGTGGATAAACCAAACGGGTCGGAGGCAAAGCATAGGCTCCCAGAAGCGTAAAGGTGCTGCACGGTGAAGGCTCACATGGAAAGCTCATGAAGTAAAAGGATGGCTTGCAAATGTCTTAAGCAAGTGCAGAAGTGAAAAACTTGAGGATACAGAGAGAGTGCATATTTCAAGGTGTGCGAATGACACGAGGAAAGTGAACAGAAGAATGACAGGGGAAAAGACAAGCTAACATGGGCAGGAAGTCTCTCCATAGGCTTTCATGCAAGACGCCAGGAAGGAAAGTGTAGGCTACAAACATCCACATGAAGCAAAAAGGGATGAGTGAAACATAAGCAGTGCACAGCACAAGAAGGAGGACAAGAAAAAAAAAACATGATACAGAAGAGCAAGTTTGCATGACAGCGAAAGCTTCACATAGGCCTACACGCAGAGCAGAAGAAAAAGTGCTCCCCACAAAGAACCGTAGCAAGCGTAAAAAAATTCAGAGGCTTCATGCAGCCATACGCACAGAGCACAAAAAAAGAAAAGCTTCCCACAAACATCTGAAGCAAGCGTAAAAGTAAAAGAATATTCTGGGACTTCACTCAGGCTTACATGCAGAGCATAAGAAAAAGCAAGCTTCCCACAAAGAGCTGAAGAAAGTGTGAAAAAAATTTAGATGCTTCACGCAAACTTACACGCAGAGCACAACAAAAAGAAAGGATTCCCACAAACTTCAGAAGCAAGCATGAAAAAAATCCAGAGGCTTCATGCAGGCTTGCACGTAGAGCATAAGAAAAAGAGCTTCCCACAAACATCTCTAGTAAGCGTAAAAAAAAATTCAGAGGCCTCACACAGGTTTACAGGCAGAGCCTAAGAAAAAAAGGGTTCCACAAAGACCCACAGCAAGCGTAAAAAAATTCAGAGGCCTCAGGCAGAGCACAAGAAAATGGGCTTCTCACAGACCCGTAGCAAGCATAAAAAAAGTACAGATGCCCTTACATGCACAGCACAAGAAACTTCCCACAAACATGTGTAGCAAGCATAAAAAAATGTAGAGGCTTCACGTAGGCTTACATGGAGATCACAAGAAAAAGGGCCGCGCACAAACAACCGTTACAAGAGTAAAAAAAAATTAGAAGTGCCTCAGTAAACAAGGAACGCAAAAAATGAAAGCTGCCCTTAACACAAAGAAGAAAGCAAAGTAAAAAAAAATGAGAACGGCACAACAGTTTCATCACCTAAGGCAATCTAAAACACTAATTAGTTCTCCGAGGTCCTGCCATCGACTGCCAAAGTCCCTGCGTTCAGCTGCCCCAGCCGCCAACTCGCGACTTTTTTCCCGCAGGAACAGTTGCAGCCGTGCATGGCAGAATCACCTGATGAGCTTTATTTTGATTTCATGGCAGTCGGGCAGCTGAACACATTGGCTCTCTGCAGCCATCCTCGCCGATAGGGCGTCCAGGATGCCCCGTGCCTGCAACAAATCCGCAATGAGGCTGCGAAAGACACTTTCACAAATTGTGAAGAGGGCGCGTGCAGCTTCAGAGGGGCAGGTCAGAGCGTCAGGGACATAACTCTTTAGCCTGAGGAGGCTATTTGCAGGTGCCATGGGGACTTGAACATCTGCAGCACACGCGTCACATGTAGCATTATTTTTTACAACTCTTCGTACCACATACCCGCGTAATAGTCAAAGCTATTCTTTTCAGGTTGTGACATGGTGAGTTCTACCTCCTCAAGAAAAATGTCGGTGGGCACAGCAGGTTGTACATCCAAGTCTGCGAGGTCAGCCAGGTAAAAGGAGGCATCGTCCAGTTCGTAGGACCCTGCCTTGGACGCCTTCAGGTACTGCGAGTGTGTGATGATTTTCAAGGTCATCTTAAACTCCAAGAAGTTGGGATAGGGTTGCCCTGTCGCACTACCGAAAACAAGTTTTCATGGCAGTCCTGCGTGAATCTGGATGTGAGCACAAATGAAAAAGAATGTCTCTCAATGAGACTGCTGCAGGTCCAGAATGGACTTGGTAGAGAGGATTACCCCCGCCTCCACTGGCTTGAACGCCCCATCCCCAATAGTGAGGTGGAGAAAAAGATCCTTAAATTTGACCAGAAAGTCAAGGGTGTTCTTGTAGCAGGCCTCATTTTGCCTGCTGATCGCAAGGACTGGGTGCCTGCTGCTCACAAGATCAAACCATTTGTTGACCTGTTCCAAGAACCAAGCCGTGGTGAGGAAGTTGGTGCTCCAGCCATGATTCTCCACCAGGAAGCGCAGGGCTGTGGCCGTGGAGTGACAGAGGACCCGTAGGGCAGTGCTCACCTACAAACACAGAACTGCTTTAGATCATCAAGTGTATGCAATGTTTGGTAAATTGGACTGAAGGAATTAATGATTTGAAACTTCCCCCTCAGTCAATAAAAGAACAGCATGGGCACTAAACGAAGAAAAGGCTGCTAACTTCCATTCCTGTTGTCCATACGAATGGTTTTTGCTGTTTTTTTACGAGTTTTTGCCACTCTCTTAAAGCTGGCAGTTCCACTTCATGAGCAAAGGTGATGAATGCCAGCACTGAAGTACACTCCATGGTTACTTTGGTAGCTGTGCGTTGCTAAAAGTGTCACCGACTCCGATTTGTGAACCACTGACTGATTTTGTTGAAAACACTTTAAGGGAAGCTAAAGAGGTTCTCCAAAAAAAATCAGTTAGAGGTAAATTCTTCCGTATTTGTATCCTCCAAATTTGAATATGCACTATTTGCTCAAGAAGTATCACCAACGCAAAGAAATATTTAAAAAATTCACTCGGCATGATGTCACGTCAAGAACTTTCACCTGGCCACCGAAGCTCAAGCACCATCTCTCGTGCAGTGTTCCGGCACATGTGACCAGCCTTGCCCAATGCACCACTTTTTTTATTCTCGTGAAATGGTGCGTCATCTGCTACAGACGCCTAGTTCCCTCTACAATCTTTCACGCCTGACCAACATCCACTAAATCTTTTATGAAAGTTTATTGGTGTACTAAACTTACGTCAAAACAAACAGGCGAGCGAAAATCGTGAGCATGAGGTGAATCGCACACAATTTGTCGACCGCTCAAATAAGCTTGCAATAGCTGCCGAGATTCTGAGGATCCTTGTTGCGACGCTGCTGTCTCTCAGAAATTTCCTTCTAGCTTCTTACACCTCGGGAGGGCGGGGCTTCAGCACTATGGTCAAAATGCTTTGATGGCTACTCCGGGCCTCAAATTGACAAATAATTTTAATATTCGTGATACTGGAGGCCATATGAAGCAAGTGTTTTTTAAAGGTACAAAACCGCTTTAGTTTCCCCTTAAGCAGGCACGTGCGAATAACGAATTTTATGTTTCAAGCGAATAAGAAGCTAATAGTGACTTGGGTCGAATAATTTCGAATCGCATATTGAATACTTGCGGTGCCTTTCTGATACTGCCATTGCGCTCAGCTTCCGCCATCTTGACAGTGTTGATGTCAAGATGGCGGAAGGTAGCTTAGCTTAATGGAAGCTAACCTAAGTTAGCTTCCAGTCGTGTGTAACTAGCTTAGCTAGCTACAAACAAGCTAAGCTACATGCTAACTTAGCTTAGCACTCTTACCTTAGTACACATTTTTCAAAACATTATAGTATTTGAGTGATGGATGAGTGTGAACGAGTATGAATAAAAAGTCATTTTAGGTATGATATAAAGACTATCATACCTAAAACACCTAATATCAAGGGGCACACAGTAATCCACTGAAATGAGGTTAGACAAGAGTAATTTTCAGTATGTTTTATGTGCGTAAATTCTGCAGTTGTTAATTGAAGCAACAAATGAAGCTTGTCATTTAGTTCTCCTTGTCAACAGCATTTTTCCTGTAGAGATAGCTTTCTAGTGCACAAACTCAGCATGTGAGCAATGGTTATACTTTGTAAAGGAAAATCTAGCTGGTTTCATTTAGGTTATTCTCAAGTATCTGCCTACCCACTGCCAAGGCTCAATTAATTCTGATCTAAATTACTGAATGACTCTCGCTTCAAATAAATCAAGCCCTACATAGAGATTGTAAGTAGATGAGAGATTTGTCAGTCCTCTTGCTATACCGAAATACTCGTTTTAAATCTTAGACTAAAGAAATGATGAGCAATGATGCACACTGCTTGACGGGACCTCAGTTGTAGAGCAACACATATTCATGGTAAAAGCCAGTTTTTTTTTTTTTTTGGCCTTGAGGTACGCACTCATATATACCAGGAACATGAACAATCATTAAGCTACATTACAATGTTTTCCTGAATTCGTCGCACACGCGCGTGACCTCTTCTTCTCTGGAGGTGTGCCTTCCACTCAATGCACAATCGCAGTGCCTGCAAAATACGCACGATCACGGTGTTTTCTCTGTAAGTGTCGCTTCTGCACAGCACACCGGTGCTCGTTAAGAAGCGCACTCAACTGCGCTAACTCGCTGCAATCGCGACTTTGCCAGCACTTAGAAACTGTGCACATCACCGAACGAACGGCACGCGGCCAACTCGTCGCGAGTCCCTAGGGCAACTGATAAGAGCACTAGAGCGATCTCGACATCACAGGACACAGGACACACGATTGGTAGGTGAGATGATGACGTTTTATTCTAGTAGGGCCGCGCCAATCACGGGGTGCAGATTAGACCTACCTTCCACTACATTAATGGGACGCTTAGTACCTGGGAATGGTGACTAGAATGACGTCACGTGAGAACTGTGTATAGCCATAGGCTGGGGATGGCAACATGTGCAGCATGTGCTGAGCTGTAAACAATGTTTAATTTTGGCCATTCGTGTGCAGAGATTAGTCATGAGCTGCACAAATGTTTGCCGAGGCACTTATTGTCACGAACCAAAGTCAAGTGTTCATGCAGTGCTCGTATGGAATCCATAAGCCTCATTCGACCACCATCACCACAGGGTGCTCTCCTAGACACCGTCAGCATAATTACCTCCATGGTCGCATCAGCAAGGTTACAAAAATTGGGAGTGAAGGAAACACTCCCCCTCTAAACTTGAATTCACATCTCGACGCGTGCAAGATAGTGAGGTCAAACTAGTGCTGTATGCCTGCGATGAGAGAATCATTCCAACACAATATCAATAATCTACCCCTTCATACCACACTGCAACTAAGTGAAAAAAGAACCATGACACCAACTTATCATTTAAAAATAAATTGTGTAAAATACAAAAACACTACAGTTACTAACAAGGATATTATATCTGTAAATAATCAACAGGGAGCTTTGAAGCATTTGAGTAGCCTGACAACGAACTTGCCTTCAAGCCGCCGCCCCAGAGTTCTAGACGATGGCAATGGGAAGCTCCCCTCCAGTAGCAAGTCGTAGCTCAAGCTGCCACCTGCAAATCGCATCTGCAGCGACTTCTTCACCGTCTCATTAGACCACTTGGACCCCCTGTTGCTGGATCTCGATAGAGCTGCCAGTTGGTCCGCAGTGAAGAACTTGTGCAAGTGAGACCGGAATGTCGCTTCCCTTGTCTTTTGTAAGGCAGCCTGCCTCACCAAGCGATGATTCACGTTCTCCAGCTGCTTGATCTTCCGGCTCATCTGAAGAAAGACATCTTCAGTGAGCCTAGGTGAAACGGGTGAGGGAGAAAGAGGCTGTAGGGTTCGCTCAGAGGTCTTGGCCGCTGGTTGCCACAAACACGGTACAAGAATTGGGTGTTGCCCACCTCATGAGACCACTCCAAGCAGTGCAAGAACCATGACACATACCCAGCTGGTGGAGGCCGCCGACACCAAGGTGCCGAGGGCAGCTGCGCTGGCCTGGCCGCGCTGGTTGTCACTGGTCACCTGCAGCGAAGGGTGTGGTGGTATTGCTACACGGGGGTACGCAGGACCCTGGAAGATGCTTACGAAGCACGCCCCGCTGGTGGTGGGGAGCGGCTGCGTTAGCAGGCCGCCCTGCAGGGCCGCTCCAGAGGTCCTGGCTGCTGGTTGCTGCAAACACGGTATGAGAATCGGGTGATTCCCACCTCACAAGATCACTCCAAGCCGTGCAAGAACCACATACCCAGCTGGTGGAGTGTGCCGACACCAAGGTGCCGCGGGCAGCTGAGCTGGCCTGGCCGCGCTGGTTGTCACTGGTCACCTGCGGCGAAGAGCGTGGTGGTATTGCTACACGGGGGTACGCGGGACCCTGGAAGATGCTTACGAAGTACGCCGCGCTGGTGGTGGGGAGCGGCTGCGTCAGCAGGCGGACCTGCAGGGTCGCTCCGGAGGTCCTGGCCGCTGGTTGCTGCAAACACGGTACGAGAATCCTCGTTTTGCAGAAATATGGGTTCGAGAATAAATGGATTTGTCGCCCTTTCTCTCTTCATGCTGGCCGAGCGGAGAGGGACGAAGTCTTCTTTGTATTTACCTCGGGGTGAAAGATAATCCTCAAGGGGGACAAAAGTGGTTTTGGGGGAGCTCTATATAAGTCACTGCGACACAATAAGCCAACGGGACGCAGTGGACGTGCCTGCGGCCAGGGAACTCTCGTCTTTTAGCCATGCACTCTCGAACCACTAATTCTGCAAATGGTCCATTGGGTGTTGCCCACCTCATAAGATCACTCCAAGCCATGCAAGAACCATGACAGATACTTAGCTGGTGAGGCTGTCATAACATTACAAGGCAGCTGAGAGTGATGAATGCCTCGTGCATTAACTTAATAGAAGCAACAGAATATGAGTTATTGGGTTTTGACTTACATTTCCATGAGGCGGGGTTTTGTGCTGTGTCAGGCTGCAACATTGAATGATGGTGTCTCATGCACTCTTGCACAAGGACCACTCCGATTTAAAAAAAAGGTCTCTGACATGAAACAGAGATGTCAACAGCCTACCAAGTTCACATTATTATAGGTCACCTGTGCCTCTTTCAAATCATATCAGTAAAAACATCTTAACACAAGATAAACTATTGCTTTTAATTCACTCTCATAATCTAGGTAAATACCAAAAGAACAAAAATCTCACTTATCCTCGTTACACGCACTCACTTGAGTTTCAGAATGCAGAAACAAGCTCGGAACAGCTGTGGCTTTTAGCCTCCTCCAGCCGTCAGAGCACCTCGTCTGGAACTGGGAGGGCTCGAAGTGGTCCTGCAGCGAATAACGTTTTGGTAGACGTCAAAACTGTGTATTCAGCCGCTCGCGTCACAGTACAGTTATTCCGCTGACGAGAGGCTCACGCTTTCAAAATACGCGATCTTACAAATCCATCATCGCACGACAGCCACAGGCCCGAACCACTCGTCTTTCTGCGGTGAAGC